CCTCTTAAAATGTAATTCACAGGAGCGTTTATTTATAAAGCATCATTCGCTCTGCTCAGCCCAGGGCTCTGCGTGAGTTGGCTGCTGTTTTTCTGCATAGTGAAGCAAACTCGTGTGTGCCTAAATCTTCACTAGCATCTCTTACACACCATGAGGCCCTCCTTGTGATTCACTTTATAGGATTAGCAGGAATCTGTACTTGCTCAGCAAGTGACTTTTTCAACACTATCAACTGTGAAAGGAGAGTCTTGCTCCTCTGAAATGCCTTTTTTTTTTTTTTTAATAAGTTTCTCAATGGAGAGCATGTCTGAGCAAGTTATTTTTCAGCCCCCAGCCAAAGAAGATGAAGCATGTTTTTTCTGTTACAAGAAAGTACTCTTATTTTTCACAGTCTTCCTCCTCAGAACTGTGTTGTTCCCATAAATTTGATAGAATAATCTGCGTTTGCTCAAAGACCAAAAAGAAAATATCAGCCAAGAACGTGAAAGTTTTTCCATTCTGCTGCCTGAAGCTTGGGAGTTAATAGCAGTGATTTCCACTCCTGGTATAGTGGGAACATGGTTATGAAGTGAAGATCAAGAATCAGTTTAAAGGGTAAGGGCTGAAGGTGCTCCAGGGATCTGACACTGAGAAGAGAAGCCAGGGAGACAGAGACTGGTGTTGTTTGGACTTGGAGTTATCAAATGACAAATAGACCAGTCTGGAGTTGTTACACCCTGTGGTGGAGTAAGTGGAAGTGGGTGTGATGGGCACCCAGCCATCCAGCACCTCTCCCTGCTGTCACCCAAAACTTGCTTGGGAGGTTTTCTTTTGAGCTGATTATTTCACAGATTTGTCTATCCAATCACTCTTCTTTCTTCTGTAAATTTTCAGAAAAAAAATCTTCAGCTTTCCCTGGTCCTTAGGTCATCAGGAAAAAGACGAGTTCCTTGTGTTTACTTGTAGTTTGTTTGAACAACAAACAGTTAACGTCAAGCTTGGCATGTGCATAATATTCTGGAGACTCTGGTAGTTTTTAATTTAACAGGGGAAAAAGAGAAGGACTAACTTACTGATTACATAATTTCACTGCATCCTTATTTTTTTTCCTAGTGGTATTTCTAGGGCTACCCTAAGAATGCAAACACAAAAAAGGTTAAATAAGTCTGCTTTGACCAATACCTGTCCCTAGTGGCTGTTACTGCTGCCCTTTGGAAGTCCTACAACAGCCTCCACCAGGCAGTAAAGTTACAGTGAAGTTGTTTGGAGGGGAGGTGTGGATGTAGTCTTGTCCACTTCACGTGCGTTTTCCACAGACACCAAGATTTTCATGGATGATCTGTTGCACTTTTGTTAGCTCTCACTGAGATAAGTTTGCTGTAACAGTTACCAATCAATATAAAATATGTATGCCCATGCCTGACTGTTGTCCTGGGGACAGAACTCAGGATTTTAAGTTTGCTTAATTAGTACTTTACTTCCATTTCAAAACTTCAGGGCATACAAATGTTTAAAATGGCCTTGTAGAAATACCTTCTCCCACGTTTTGTGAGAATTTGTTTTATATACAAGTATACTTTTGTGACCAGTCTCAGTGGATTTAGATGGTTTCCAGAAATCAGTGTTACTCAATGAAATGTGCAGAGGAAAAAGATTCATTACAACAATGTAAATTCAGGCTGAACAAGCCAGCAGGTTTTTTAGGTTATAGAGCCTGTGAACATTCTGTTGCCTTTTGTTCTGGTTTTTAATAGTATTGATTTTTTTTTTTTAATGTACAAAAGTAAAGTAAGTCCTCAGTGTACAAGCTGGGGACTAGGTGTACAGTGAGAAATATAATTGCAGTGTATTCTTCAAGGACAAAAGTTTTTTGGCTTCCATTGTATTTGTCATTTGAAAAATTTACACTATTTTACTAAGATCACAGAGTAAATAACAGAAAATCAAAAGAACAAATCAAGTGACGAAATGCAATACAAGACATCAGCTCAGCACACTGCGTAGCAAAGCAATCACACTGCAATCACTAGCAACCTGAACTCTAAATTAACATTTCACTGAGATAGATGAGAGGTGAATAAACAGAGAGATATGTAAATATAAACTAAGTAGAAATAGATGTGATTATAGATGAGTAAATATGTGAAATCAGCATCAGTTAAGCAAGCACACTTAATAATTGCTTGCTGTTCATGTCAGGACAATGTGCCAAAGACTGCAGACAGGAGCCATAATGTCATAAAAGGCATTTTCTGGGCTTTGAGCTATTTTCTTTGCACATTCCTCAGGGCTCCCTTCACCAGGGATGGCAAAATTCAGTACACCTGTGTTGGGTCTATTTCTCCAGTCAGGTCTGTGATGTTCCTTCAGAAGGCTGTTGAGGACAGGGCATGTATATATCTATGTCAGCCTGGGCAGTGTTAACTGTGGTGGATCTGTTGTCTGCAGAAGCCTTTTGGAAATAAAGCCAAGCTGCAGCAGTAGTAAAGGTCCAGGCTTGCAGCTTGGTGTCTCAGCTGACAGGCCTCCAGACCATCTGGGTTCGGGACTGGTGTGCCTCTGGTGCCTGTGGTCCTTGTGGGCGGTCGGTGGGCTCCCTAGCACACAACCACACTGAGCAACACTGATGTTGCAAGTTTTGAAGGAGTCCACTGTCCTGCTGCCTCAGGAGTGGCACGCCAGCAGTGTTTCTCTGCTAAATGTGTCCTCAGTTGGTAGTTGCTTCTCCATGTCTTGCCAACTGGTCTGACCTTGTCCTTCTCTCTGAAGCTGTGGCGAGTTGACCTGGGTGGGTTGCCAGGTGCCCACCTGGCTGCAGGGAAATGCCTCCTCCACCATGGACTTCAGGGCAGTCTGCCTGGGAGTGCCGAGTTCCTCCTCCCCCACTGACCTCGGTGCTCACAGGGAGGTTTCTGACACTTTTTACCTCACTCCTCACCTCTGTGAGGCATTTTGCACCTTCTTAAACCTGCCAGCACAGAGGCACTGCCGCGAGGCACTTGGCTGTGCCCTCCTGTGGGGCTGTTGTGGAACTGGCTGTCTCCACAGTCCTCATATTTCCTCAGAGAGACCCTTCTGCAGCTCCCCCACCGTCACCACCGTGACACCTACACTGCACGCAGACACTGGTGGTGTGTGAAGCAAGAAGCCTCCTGGGCCCTCAGCAGCCTCCCTGGTGTTGGAGTAAGGGCAGAGCTGGGTCTCTGGGCTTTGCCGAGAAGATCAGTTGGAGTATGTCACTTGGTTAAGCTGCTGTGCCTGTTGAGCAGTTAGCATGGGCTAAACCAGGAGGTGATACTGGGATTAAGAAGAATCCTGCAGTTTTAGCGAGGTCTTAGGTTGCTGTTGAGGGGCGAGGCTGCACTCAGGGGACAGCTTCCGGGGGCAGCTCGCAGCGACTGGGCCAGGGGAGAGGCACCCACTTCCAGTGCATCCCCAGCTCAGTCCGATCCTGCCCTGAGCTCCTGTGCTCCTTACCCTGCTTGGAAAAGAAGAAGAAAAAAAGGTTACTTTCTGTCACGTGAGGGCCTGAAGCTGTCCCATAGAGGCTCTGGTGATTCCTGAGCTGCCTGTAGGGATGTGGGTGGCCTGAAGGCAGGGAGGGGAAGGCGAGTGGGACCAGGGGCCCTCTGCTTACTTCAGAAGCTGCAGGTTGCCTGGCAGGCTTAGCTGTAACTTGCAGCTGCACCCTTATCTTCTTAATCTCTTACACATTAGGAAAATGCATTTAAAGGTGGTCTTATTTTGGGGTCACTGAATCTGTATCCCTCCTAGATCGGGGAAATTCAGCCCTCAGTTCATCAAAAGCTTAGCGTTTAAACCACCTGGCTTACAGAAGTAATTCCTCTCTCCCTCAAAGACACACTCCTGGACGTGTCCAGAATACGAAGATGCAGAACCACCACCAGCTCTGCTGCAGACATTGGTTTGACGTCTTGGGGTGAAGCAGGTTTCTCCTTCCTCTTACTCCTTTCGACATCCCAGCAGCTCTCTGCCCTGTTTATAGGTTAGGTTAGGTTCATCTTTAAGGTGATCGATCAGAATTGTATTTGAAACGTGGCCTGAATGACATCATGGATGGACTGTGTTAATTCCCTCTGCCGAGCTAGATGTTTTACTGCTTTATAGGGGTACGAGATCATCAAACGCTTCTCACTCGGACAAAGGAGTTTCAAAATGACTCTCAGATCACATATTGCAAAATTCTCATGTATAATGAGCACAGAAGAAAAATCTAAACATTCACCCAGGATGCCCAGTTTTATCCATCCAACTCTGTCATATAAATCCAAAAGACACAACTGTATTTTCATGAAGCTTCTTTTATTGATTATTAAAATACTATGTGATACATTTTTTGTTTATTTTTTGTTTCATTTTTGCTGAGTCTTTCAGGCCTGAATGTCACTTTGGTTTCTTTGCTGATTTTCACTTTTAGAGATTAATTTCTTACCAAGCACAGGTCAGTCTGTGCAGATTTCCAGATGTTTGTAGACTGTAAGATTTTTATGTTGATTCAAATATAAAATTAAATTAGTCGTTGTTATTTGTGTACTTAAAACTGCATCTGTTAATTTTGATGAATGTCTTAACAGCTTCTAGGAAAATTTATGTTAAAGTATGGTACATTTGGTAGGTTTGGTGTGTCAGCTGTTCTGTAATTTCCAGTGCTGTGACCATGTTATAAACCTGCAAAAATCCATTTATTAAAAAAATAAACCATAAAAATTGTTCCAAATTGTCATATACCTGAATGAATGCCCAGGGGGCCAGGGGAGCCCTCTATTGCCCTCATTTACAGACAAGCCAGATGGACTTTGTTCATTTCAGGGAAAAAAAAAAAGTACTCAAGCAGAAACTGTACTTGTCATGTTACAGTCTGCGCTGAAATGTGTGGCCAAGGCCATTCAACCTAGATTCGTTGTAGGAGCACTAATTATCTTATAATTTAGATTTACATGACACGTTCCTTGCTTATCTGATATTGTGTCCTCAAGGGGGTGATTTGGTTATTTTTCCAGGCAAGCCAACGTTTATGAAAGCTCCTGAAGACCAGATTGGGATTTCTGGAGGAGTGGCCTCTTTCGTGTGTCAGGCAACTGGAGAGCCCAAACCTCGTATCACATGGATGAAGAAGGGGAAGAAAGTCAGTTCTCAGCGGTTTGAGGTAATTACAGAAAATAAAAATTTGGTAATCAATCTAATGCTTTGCAGGTCTCAATTACACAGTAATCATCATTGCAACTCAGATATCTCTGCATCACTACAATATAGAGTCTAGAGCCTCAGAGTAAAATGTGTCCTCCGTTGCAGCAATGCAATCTGCAAACGAGGTGGTGTCTTTGAACTTGATGCTGGAGGCAGTTTTATCCATCCAACTCTGTCATATAAATCCAAAAGACACAACTGTATTTTCATGAAGCTTCTTTTATTGATTATTAAAATACTATGTGATACATTTTTTGTTTATTTTTTGTTTCATTTTTGCTGAGTCTTTCAGGCCTGAATGTCACTTTGGTTTCTTTGCTGATTTTCACTTTTAGAGATTAATTTCTTACCAAGCACAGGTCAGTCTGTGCAGATTTCCAGATGTTTGTAGACTGTAAGATTTTTATGTTGATTCAAATATAAAATTAAATTAGTCGTTGTTATTTGTGTACTTAAAACTGCATCTGTTAATTTTGATGAATGTCTTAACAGCTTCTAGGAAAATTTATGTTAAAGTATGGTACATTTGGTAGGTTTGGTGTGTCAGCTGTTCTGTAATTTCCAGTGCTGTGACCATGTTATAAACCTGCAAAAATCCATTTATTAAAAAAATAAACCATAAAAATTGTTCCAAATTGTCATATACCTGAATGAATGCCCAGGGGGCCAGGGGAGCCCTCTATTGCCCTCATTTACAGACAAGCCAGATGGACTTTGTTCATTTCAGGGAAAAAAAAAAAGTACTCAAGCAGAAACTGTACTTGTCATGTTACAGTCTGCGCTGAAATGTGTGGCCAAGGCCATTCAACCTAGATTCGTTGTAGGAGCACTAATTATCTTATAATTTAGATTTACATGACACGTTCCTTGCTTATCTGATATTGTGTCCTCAAGGGGGTGATTTGGTTATTTTTCCAGGCAAGCCAACGTTTATGAAAGCTCCTGAAGACCAGATTGGGATTTCTGGAGGAGTGGCCTCTTTCGTGTGTCAGGCAACTGGAGAGCCCAAACCTCGTATCACATGGATGAAGAAGGGGAAGAAAGTCAGTTCTCAGCGGTTTGAGGTAATTACAGAAAATAAAAATTTGGTAATCAATCTAATGCTTTGCAGGTCTCAATTACACAGTAATCATCATTGCAACTCAGATATCTCTGCATCACTACAATATAGAGTCTAGAGCCTCAGAGTAAAATGTGTCCTCCGTTGCAGCAATGCAATCTGCAAACGAGGTGGTGTCTTTGAACTTGATGCTGGAGGCACACACATAGGAGATTCTTCTTCAGAGGAGAGACTGGAGCATGTACCAAATTGGGTGACAGATGAGAGTTGGATCTAGCAGCAATTTTCTGTTTTCATTGTGAAAATTTATATAAGGCACCTCCTTGGCCTGCTATAGCCAGTTAAATTCCAAAGTGAAATGCCAAAATGCTATTGGAAGGCTTTCCAAGTGTCTGTCTCTCCCACACATATGCTTTGAAGGTGAATGGTGAAGTTGTACTGAGGGGTAATTTGACTTCCCTGTGAACTAAAGTCTGAGAAATAAGAAGAGGGAAGAGCAGGTTTTAGAAATGCTTTTGAAAAAGGGTCCAATTTGGTTCATATTTTAAATAGCAAATATGTTTTCACTGACTTTCTCTATCTTTTTTTTCCACTTCCCTTTTTTGGAGTTGGGTTCTTTTCTCCAAAACTGCCCTTGGAAATTTGACCCTTCTACCATTCTGCTGTCTTCCCTCTAATTCCCTGTCTTTGATGTTTTTGCTTCTCTAACTGGAGCACAAGATGACTTTGCTGCCTAGTGGATTGATTCAAGTCACCAGTTTTAATTGTGATTTTGCATGTGAGCAGAAAACCTTGATTGAAGTAATCGATTTTCATCTTGTTTTACATTGTTATTGTTGTGTAATAAAGGTTACATTTTATTGTATAGTTACCATTTAAACATTCTGATTTGTCAAGTAAATATAACCTTATGGTGAATTTGGTATTTATTGTGGTTGACCCGAGGGCTATGCTGTCATACAAGCAATTTTATACCTTTATTCCTAGTAGAGGTATTTTTATTGTGTTAGAAAGCAGTGAATAATATCTTTCTTATTTTTCTAGCTAACTATTTATTTTACCTCATTACTAAACTAGACTTTATTTGGAGGAAAACTGGAATTCAGTTGAAATTTTTTTTTAAAAGTGATGTACACACACCAAGTTATTACACGAAAGAGGTATCCATCATATCAGCACAAATGAACAGCATTTCTGGTCTTAGTGTCTGTCAAGTCCTTAGTAGTTATAGCTCCCTCTGTCACAGAGTTTTTGTTGAAAGGTTAGTAAGGGCAAAAGAGCTTTTCTGCTGTTTCATCTCTCAGCTTTTTAGTCCTTATCACAGAAGTGAATTAATCTCTGCATCTGACTTGGTCTTGTTTTAAAATTTGACAGTAGCTCTATCCTGTGTAAGGGTTCTAAGAAGTTTAACATTTTGTCACAGTTTCATATTTAAAATTGAATATTTAAAAAATTTATATTTTAAATCCTTAAAATGTACTATGGTGATGTTCCCTTTTCTGTCTTGTCTGCTGCTACCTGACCCCGAATTACAGTTTTTGGTAAGCTGTTTCTGTTACTTAGATTGGAAGGCGTATTCCTTCCAGCATGAGGAATAACAGATTTTTGGTGGTCTTGGTTACCTTTTGATTTCTTCTTATTTCTCCTGTCCCTGCAGAGTCTTGTGGCACACATAATTTTTCTCATTCC